AAAAAAAAAAAATAAAAAAAAAATAAAAAAAAATAGCAGATTGACAACATTTTTACCTGTAGATTGTGTTGGGAGAAGTTTGGGTGGGGCACGTCAAAAGCTGATGAGTTGCTGCTACCAGTTTTAAACGAGTACAACAAGCGTGAGGTTTGTGTTTCTCCCTGACATGAACTTTTCCGAACAGTAATTTGAAAAATGGAAAATACAAATTTTGCACATCTGAATATTTTTTCTACTGTTAGGTGTATTTATATTTCTATTTTTGTTTCATGATTTGGTCGATGCAGACACAGTTGAGGCTGGAAGCATTTTATACATTCAACGAAAGATTTGCTAAAATTCGCAGTAAAAGAATAAAGAAGGCTGTCAAAGATATAACAAAAAATAAACCTTCCGATCTGATTGATGAAACAGCTCTACAACGTCCCGTGGGGAGGAAAAAAAGAAAAGCGAAGCCCAAAGGGGATGATGAAGCTAACCAATCAGATGGTGCGGGTGCTAATAATGACACATTGGAAAATGCAACAGTTAAGCCGACAAAAAGAGGTCGTACTAAAGAAAAAACTCTACAAACTAATTTATTCGAGCCTGCCGTAAGGAAAGAAACACATGCAAGGAGAAAAGGGAAAAGGAAGAAGAACTCTTCTTGGGAAGATGCTGAATTATGTGATACTGAAACTGACGAAGAGATGCAATTTGACAAGTCGGGAGAATCCAGTCTAGTACGAAGGGTGAGTCGAGCTCTTTTCTCGACATGTTTTATGTGTATTTTTATTTTTTTTTATTCAGTTTGCAAAAATCTGCGGTTGATGGAAGCATATTGAAAAAACTTACATTAATCTACTCAAGGATATTTATGAAATATATTCTGAGGTTCAATTTAATTAACAAAACTTGCAAAAGCTACCCACCTATTTGGATAATAAAAATAAATTTATTTGTTAGTTAATTTTACAAACAATGGTGTGACTTGCAGTCAGGACGAGTTAGGAAGACTGTGAACTACAACGTATCAGACGATGAAAGTGATGAAAAAGATAATCTCATAGAAACTCCAATGGATGAGGACCCATTTGTGGCTGTAGCTCTCGGCAGCTTTAATGAGACCAATAATGGGAACAATATTGATGAAGAAGGTATGAATGTTTGGATTGGTGGTAAAAATGATTCTGCAAAAGTTACTCAGGAAAAAACTCGAGAAACAGATAAAAGCGTGAGTGCAGATTTAACTCATGGTAAACAAACTGATGAACAATTCCTCAAGGAGGTCAGTTCATCACAGGACTATCTTCAGTTCGGGGGTGGGTTTTGCGTGGATGAAGAAGATGAAGGCTCGAATGACAAGGAAGAGAAGATTCCGGAAGAATCTGATGGTCCCGATTTGGGAGATTCTTTGTCTGAGGAAGAAAATCGTGAACATGCTGAGATGAATGCAGGTAATGATGATTGTGGTTTGCTGGACGAGTCTGAGAACAATGATGCTGGCCGCCACTATGCAAAGTCTCTTTGTTCCATGCCGAATTTGAGAAGAAAGAATAAGAAAATTTGAGGGGGCTTTAATTTTTTTTGTTACACATCCTAGAATGATGACACATTTTAATTTAAAATTATGTGCATTTTTAGTGCCTCTTTAAAAGTGCCATTATGACTGCTGTGTCCATCAAAATCCAACTCCAACATCAATTTTCTTGCTCAATCATCAGTTTTCTTTTTTATTATTGTCTACTTGAATGTAAGTAGACATGGCCAAGTCCCTTGGCCCGGCCCGGTCCAAACCGTTGACCACGGCGACCAGATTTTTGAAGGGTCGTGTCATGGTCATCCATTTCATGACCCGGCCATGCGGGTCCGGGCCGGGTCGATGACCCACCTTTTCTATTTTTCGTAAATTTTTTTCTATCGTTTTTTTTAAAAATGACGGACTCGACTCGGTCAATTGGGTCTTTGACCCGGCACGAGTGTAGGTTTGTGCCGGGTCCGGGTCATTGTTTTTGAGTCTGGCGATCCGACGGGCCGGGTCGGGTCGTGACCAAGCTTGGGTTTTGGCCATGTCTAAATGTAAGATGTTTTTATTTTGTTTTTTATTTTGTTGGTCCGTATGGTTAATTTTGAAATAAATGGTATGTTGAGTTGTTAGTGAGATTTTAAATTCGCATTAAAATAATATTTAAAATAGAATAA